TAGGCTGGTGTGCTTCTTCCATGTGGGCTTTGTTGCTTCTGAGCTTGATGGCCGCTTGATTACCTTCAAGCCTTTAAGAAGGTCTTCATTATTTTGAGGAGGAAGAATTCTGGCAAGTTTGACTGCCGATTCGGAAAGCACCAGAAGAGAGGGACTAATGAATGCTGCAGGAACAAGACAAGAGTTTTACTTGGAGCGTGCGTGTCCTTGGGTGCGGAGGTGGAAGAGCACTGTTGCCTAAGAGGAGGTGTTGGTTGTGCTGGGGAGCTTGGAACATCCCCTGCAGTAATAGGAGGGAAAGTAAAATGCATGGTAGAAAGCAAATTCTTTTGATTATTTGTTTTCTCGGTTAAGTAGGCCACAGCATTACTGATGCATGCATTGGAAGAGGTGTATTAGAAACTTGAGGAGGAGAAGTAAAAGTTCCCTAGAAAGGTGGGGTAGTGGGGAGCAGAGGGAAGTGCGCTGACTGTTAAGCATCATGAAAAGCCATTTTGAAGTTACCTAAAAAACCCAAACTCACCAGCACTGAGTTGCTTCCGAGTTGTAATGACCAAACAAGGCAGGATAGAACTACCATGGTGGGTTTCCAAGACTGACTCTTTAAAGGAGTAAAAAGCCTCCTCTTTGGAACTGCGATTAGCAGTCCACTGCGTAACCACCACGCTACCAGGGCTCTTTGTTTTGAAGTCACTGGTCAAGAATTTAAAGTGGGACCAGTCAACACGGATATGTTGTTCTTCAGCCACTTTCAAGTGCATGGGTACAGGGATGGGAAAGGCAGAAATTCAGCCAAAGTTATTCCACCAGGCAAGTCAAGTGTGACAGTTCAAGAGATGGAATAGGAAGTGTGTGTGTGTGTGCAAGAAGTGCTTGTCATGAAGGACTGTGGGATTGAAACCAGATATGGAAGAAATGAGGGCATGATGGTGATGAAGACCATAATAAATATAATAGTGTCAGTGGCTTGTATATTCTGGTGGGGTCAGAGGTTAATTGCAGTCAGCAGAGTGGAAGAAGAAGGGTCGTGGTGACTGGGGGTAGGATGATTGGATTATTCATGGGCAGGTGGGTTGGTGAGAGAAGTAAAAGTTCCCTAGAAAGGTGGGGTAGTGGGGAGCAGAGGGAAGAGTGCTGACTGTTGGTAGTGACAGTAGGTAGGGTCTGCCACTAGGAGTGGTTGAGGCACCGGAGACAGATGATGAAAGCACACATAATTGAGATAGAAGTACCGTATATACTCGAGTATAAGCCGACCCGAATATCAGCCGAGGCACCTAATTTTACCACAAAAGCTGCATTAAAAATGTGCTGAAAAACTCGGCTTATATACGAGTATATACATATGTTACATAGTGACAGTAAATCACGCGCTAAAATCCTTAAGAAATGGGGTCTAGTATCCCCTGGGTTCACAGATGCAGTGTGTGGAACAAGATTTTTTTATATCATTTTATTTTTTTCCATTTTATTGGGAGGTCTTACAGATATTATAATAATCCATAGTTCAATTAGATCAAGCATGATTGTACAATTGCTGGCACCATTGTTTTCAAAACATTTTCTTCTTGCATTCTTTGATATCAGCTCTCCTTTATTTCTGCCCTCCCCGGCCCTACACCTTGGGAACCACTGTTATTATATTAAATATTATTATTTTTTCCTCCCCTGACCCCACCCCGCATCTCCCGTATCTTACATCATCCAATGTATCCATTCATCTGCCTTTCTGTTAGTCATTCCCCTCGAGTGGAGTTATGTACTTAGTTGTTTGGAACAAGATTTTCCAAGGCAAATCATATGCAGCTTTTCTTTTTAAAAAAAATCATTTTATTGGGGCCTCGTACAACTCTTGTCACAATCCAGACGTTCATCCATTGTGTCAAGCACATTTGTACATTTCTTTCCATCATCATTTTCAAAACATTTTCTTTCTACTTGAGTCCTTTGTATCAGCAGCTCATTCCCCCTCCCACTCCTTTCTCCCTCCTGGACCCTTGATAATTTATAAATTATTATTATTTTTTCATGTCTTACACTGATCGACGATGTCTCACTTCACCCACTTTTCTGTTGTCCAGCCCCCTGGGAGGGGGTTATATGTAGATCATTGTGATTGGTTCCTCCTTTCTCCCCCACCTTCCTCTTACCCTCCTGGCATGGCTACTCTCAATATTGGTCCTGAGGGGTTTATCTGTCCTGGGTTCCCTGTGTTTCCAGCTCTTATCTGTACCCATGTACATGCTCTGGTCTAGCCGGATTTATAAAGTAGAATTGGGGTTATGATAGTGGTGGTAGGGGGAGGAAGCATTAAAGAACTAGAGGAAAGTTGTGTGTTTCATCAGTGCTACACTGCACCCTGGCTGGCTTGTCTCTTCTTTGTGACCCTCTGTGAGGGGTGTCCCGTGACCGACAGATGGGCTTTGAGTCTGATATGATTTCTGGGTCTGGTTACACAGCTTTTCCTAGAGGTGAGAAGTGGTCTGGAAGTTACAAGGAGGAGGAGCAAAGGGCCCAGCCAGGCCATCACTAGGTTCATTGGTCAAGGGCTGTAGGAGAAAAGTTCTTTGAGTGTCTATAAGAAAACTGTCTTTGGAGGGAGAGTAAGGTTTCGGTTAGAACAAGAAGACTGTATTTCAGGGAAGTTTTTAACATTGGGGCAAAGTAGAGAGGAGGACAGGAGATAATGAGTTCTAGAAGGCAGAATTGAGGGGTGACCCAGGGAAGAGCCTGCGGCTCTTTGTACAATACATGAATAGATGGAGGACATGTTGAACTGTCTTAGTCATCTAAAGGTAAAGCTAGTGGGGTCAAAACTGTAGTAAGTGTGGGGAGGAAGGTGGGATCTCTCTCCTCTCCTATATCAAGACAGACGGGGCAGGTATTTTTTCAAGAGTGAGTATAGCTTTTAAATTTTGTTCTATTTTTAATTTTACAGATCCTTAGTAATTATCAGCACTTTAGATGGGCGGATTGCTGCACTGGACCCTGAAAACGATGGTAAAAAGCAGTGGGATTTGGACGTCGGATCTGGCTCCTTGGTTTCATCCAGCCTTAGCAAACCAGAGGTAAGAGTTTTCTATTAAGTGCTAATTGGGAAACTGAGTTAAAATGAGCAATTGCATATATTAATAATGTGCATTTGATTCTAGTGCTAGCATTCAGAGTCCAGTTGCCTAAGTTAGAGACCTATATGCGTCTTACTAGCAATGTCTCTTGGGGTAATTCTTTAACTGTTCTGTTCCTCAGTTTCCCTGTAAAGTGTGTTCAATTATAGCCCCTGTTTTGTAGTGTTGTTTTATGTATTAAATGAGTAAGTTGTATACTGCTATATCAGTCTATAACTCATTACTGAAAACTGTCATCGAGTCAATGCTAACTCACAAAGACCCTCCATAAGACAGGGCAGAACTGCTCCTGTGGGTTTCTGAGGAATTAGAAAGCCTCATCTTTCTCCCATGGAGCAGCTGGTGGTTTCAAACTGCTGATCTCGAGGTTAGCAGCCCAACTCATAATCACCACACCACCGGAATCTATAACTCATTAATTGTGACATTATTATAATATCTTGGTAATAGTAGTATCAACATCATAACGTTCCTAGGAATAATAAGACAGTATAAATAACTGAATTTTGCTAGTTAGAAATCTTCCCTGTAAGACGCCATCAATTATTCCTTATATGTTTTCCCTCAACTGTAAATCCTAGCTATAAGCATAGTTCATCTGATGTTTGTTTGGAATGTGGTTTTAGGCCAATTTTTGATTATTTTCAGAAAATCTGTGCTTAATAATTTCTAAGCTCTAGGGTGATAGAAACCCTGATGGCATAGTGGTTACACATTGGGCTGCGATCCACAAGTTTAGCAGTTTGAACTCACCAGCTGCCACATGGGGAAAGATAGGACTTCTCTTGTAAAGCATTAGTCTCAGAAACTCAGGGCAGTTCTAGTGTGCCCTATAGGGTCACTGTGAGTCAGCATCGACTGGATGGCAGTGAGTTTGATATTTTGTTTTTTTTGAGAGTGATAGGAGTGAGCATAGATTCATAGAGACCTTGCTTCCCAAACACTCTGGCCCATGACTCCAAGACTTGGTCACGTGGCTTAGGCCTTTAGTGCCTTCATTTGCCTTAATGAATTGTTGGGAGGATTAAATATGATTCAGGTTTTAAAAAAATTATTTTATTACTTTTGGTTCAGTTTATTTTCCTTACCATTAGGCTAACTCTGATCAGTTACCTTTGTCTTCTTTTCTGGAGCCTTACCCTATTGTTTAAATCATTTCAAATACACCTATTCCTCCCTCAGCGACGTGGCTAGTTTCCCAAGACCAGTCATTATATGAAAATGGACATTATGGGAAAATGGAGGATGACCATATCAAATTACAAAATGAAAGATAACTACATCATTGCATAGGTCCCAAATTAACCTGTAACCCTATCACAGCCAGAGTTACTCTTTACTCCTACCTCATAACTCAATATGCTTCCAGATATATACTGTTAATGAACAAAATAATCAAGGTCGCCATGACTCAGACTCAACAACAACTAACAGCACACTGAAAATATCTTCTGGAAACAGTAGACTTCTTGTTATATTATGAATTATTAATACAATTATTATACAAGCAGCAATTTTGATGAAAATGACATTAAGCTTTTCCCAATAAGATAAGGTATTCAAATGAGTTATTACCCAAGCTAAACTTATTTATTTGTGTTCTACTAGGATTATATTTGGATATGCACATTTTGCTTTATTTTTAAACTAGATATAGAAAGATGATCAGCAAAATCAGAAGATTGTAAGCTGCTTATATCTGAGGTAATAGTACAGTGTGTTGTAGTGATGAAAAGCATGTGCATATGTATAAAATATACACGTGTACAAAAAGAAAAATTGCATGATATGGAAAAGCTGAATGCACATATTTGTAATAACCCGAGTGCCACTGTATGTGTTTAAGTTATAACCACCTTGTTGTATGGGAAGGTTTTCTCATAAGTAGCATTTATTGGTATTGTTTTAGGTGCCACGGAGTCAGTTCTGACCCTATGAAACACCGCCCAGTCCTGTGCCATCCTGGCACTTTCCACGACTGAGCCCATTATTACAGCCCTAGTGCCAATCCATCCTGTTGAGGGCCATCCTCTCTTTTGCTGCCTGTCTACCTTCGTGTTCTTCTCTGGGGACTGGTCTCTCCTGACAATATGTCCAAAGTATATAAGGCAAAGCTTTACCATCCTTGCCTCTCAGGAGCACTCTGGCCTGCGTTTTCCAAGACAGTTCCGTTCATCCTTTTAGCAGTCCATGGTATTTTCAATATCCTTCGCCAGCACCATAATTCAAATTCATTGATTTTTCTTCAGTTTTCCTTATGCAGTGTCCAATTTCATATGCATATGAGGCAATCAAAAATATCATGGCTTGGGTCAGGCACACCTTAGTCCTCAAAGTAACATCCTTGTTCTTCAATACTTAAAGAGGTTTTGTGCAGTAGATTTACCTAGTGTAACCCATCTTTGGATCTCGTGACTGTTGCTTCCATGAGCATTGACTGTGGATCCAAGGAAGACAAATCCTTGACAACTTCATCCTTTTCTCCATTGATCATGATGTTACCTGTTGGTCCAGGTGTGAGGAGTTTGGCCTTCTTTACACTGAGTCACAATCCATACTGAAGACTGCAATCCTTGATCTTCATCAGCAAGTGCTTCAAGTCCTCCTTACTTTCAGCAAGAAAGGTTGTGCCATCTGCATATCCCAGGTTAATAAGCCTTCCTCCCATTCTGATGCCACATTCTTCTTCTTATCATATAGTTTCTCTGATGATTTGGTCAATGTAAAAATTGAATAAATATGGTGAGAGAATACAATCTTGATGCACACCTTTCCTGATTTTGAACCATGTAGTATTCCTTTGTTTCGTTTGCATAATTGCCTCTTGATACATGTACAAGTTATGCATGAGCACAATGAAATGTTCTGGAATTCCCTTTCTGGAGGTTATTTATAGTGTTATGGTCCGCACAGTCGAATGCCTCGACATAGCCAATAAGTGCAAGTAAACATCTTCCTGGTAGTCTCTGCTTTGAGCCAAGATCCATCTGACATCAGCAATGATATCACTGGCAACACATCCTCTTTGACATCTAGCCTGAATCTCCGGCAGCTCCATGTCAATGTATTGCTGCAACCCTTGTTAGATGGTCTCTAGCAAAATTTTACTTGCATGTGATTTCAGTGTTATTGTTCTATAGTTTGAGCATTCTGTTGGGCCAGCTCTCTTTGGAATGTGTACAAATATGGATCTCTTCTAGTCAGTTGGCCAATTAGCTGTCTTCCAGATTTCCTGCCATAGATAAGTAAGTGCTTCCAGAGGTTCATCAGCTTGTTGAAACATTTTAATTGATATTTTATCAATTCCAGAAGTCTTGCTTTTGGATAATGCTTTCAGTACAGCTTGAACTTCTTCCTTCAGTACCATTAGTTCTTGCTCATGTACTACCCCCTGAAATGGAAAAATATTACCAGTTCTTTTTGGTACGGTGATTTTGTTTATTCTTGCCATCTTTTTTGATACTTCCTGCATCATTCAATATTTTGCCCATAGAATCTTTCAATATTGCCATTCAATGCTTAAATTTTTTCTTGAGTTCTTTCAGTTTAAAATCTGCTAAGATGTTCTCCCTTTTTGTTTTTCTAATTCTAGGTTTTCGCACATTTCATTGTCATATTTGACTTTGTCTTCTTAAGCTGCCTTTTGAAATTTTCTGCTTAGTAATTAACTATTTTAAAAACTACAGTTGAACTTCATCATTCTTAGTCTGTACTGTTTGGGGGGGGGGCGGGGAGCTGTTATTAGGGCTCTCATTTAAAAATGTGTTGTTTTAATTAATGTTCTCTGTTTTACCTTTCTGGGTTCTGATATCCATTGCAGTGGCTACACATAATTCACAGATAAGATTTAAGATTAAAGGGTTTACTAAGGAAGTTAACACATTATAATGCCAGTGAGAAATGCTCAGGGTTGAGTTGTTTATCAGGACATGTTACAAAGTTCAGCCAAGTCTGATATAAATGCCCAAAGGGCATACATACCCTTTTTCTATAAGCCTCAACCTGTGGGCATTCAATTTAAGCTCCCTGGACTAGTAAACTCAGGTCCCCGAATTAAGTCCCAGAGACACCTTCTCTGCCCAGAGGCACCCAGCACCACTTCTGTGGGGCAGCAAGTCTACTTCCCCAATTAAGTGCCCAGAGGCACCCCACTCCACAAGGTGGCCTTTGCATAGAAGCGTTCAGCTTTACATGATCTGTGGGTTGGAAATCCATCATTCTGTTCCATGTTCTGGCTCCTGAGTCTGCTGCGACAAGATGGTATAGTTGTCATCTGGATCCAGGAGTTTCACTGAGTCGGGATCTCAGTCCAGAGGCTGCCCACCTCTCCTGGCTCTTGCAGGTAGTGAGATCCCGCCTGCTACTTCTCAGAGGGTTCATTTTATACACAGCAGGATGGCACTCCAGGGAATTCTGTTTGCAATTACTCACAGGTGAATCCTAACAGTATCTCATCCCACTTTCTTACCAGACCCAGAAAACGGTTGTTTAGAGAAAGGGAGTTAGAGACTGGCTGGAAGAGTCACATTAAATAATTCACTGCCCCTGCAAAAGTGCCCACCTCTCCTTCCACCGTCCGCTTCAGGTCATCTTGGGGATGCACTGTTTGAAATGTTAAATTTCAAACATGTTAAAAACATGGTGCTATGTCACCTTTCACAGCATATGCGGGAGAAAAATCCCGAGACTTCTTTGCATTATCTAGACGTAAATTTTCCACTTTATGGAAGAAATTCTAAAGTTTCATTAGACTATCTATGATAACACTATAAATTTGCTAGCTTCTGCTGCTGCCTGAAGCTCTTGGGTCCCTTTTGTGGGACTGGATTGCAAAAGGTTAATGTACCCAGCTGTGTAGTGGTTTCACACATTTTGGAAACCAGCAGCCGCTCTGATAGAGGAAGACATGACTTTCTACTTCCATAAAGAGTTAAAGTCTT